AATAAATCCACAGTCCGCGGATGTAAGGTTAGGCGGCAGCACTCGCAAAATCCCGCTCGTCCCAGGCGACCAAAAACGCAAAAGCACAGTCGTCGTGAATGTCTCAAGTGCATATGTGGTATAGTTCTTTGCAACTTTATTGCCTCCTTCCATGATGAGAAATACTGTCTTCTATCATGTTATTTAACAGCCATAAACATTTCGGTTCAGCATAATATGTATAACAGCGTCCATTCATGATATCACGCTTTACAATAGAGTTCATGGCTCTCATCTCAGCTTATGGTTCCTTTTATTCAACACTTTTTCCTTTTTTTTATTTCTTAGGACGGATGGAGGATAGTTGTCCCAAATTGGCACACAAATAAGGGCAAGTGCGAACTACTTCAGTTTCCCCTTCGTTATTTTGTGGTTCAATGTTTTTAGTACGACTATTTTCTTTGTATTACACTTCGCCACCCTCTGCCCATTGTGGGTGGGGCTTCGCTCGTTTCAACTGTGTGCTTGGAGCCTTTTCTCTGCTTTCCTAACCATGTTATGATTTTTTTGTTAAGCACGCCCACTGCAAGTGGGTTTCTTCACTTCCTTGGCAATCCAGCCTCACATCAGTCCATTTTTTCCCGGTTTGGGGCTGTTCTGGGACCCAATTCGAAGTTTTTGCTGTCAGCATCATCCACTTTGATGCTTGTCCGGTCAGTCATGGGCAGGGCTTCACCTAGTTTATGTATGCTCCGTACATCCTGTCCCATGAACAACGCAACTTCAACTAGACCCTATCTCTCAGGTGTTTGTTTAGGTAAGGCCCAATTTTGTGACAGCTACATAGAATGTTACTTACCATTAGTGCTTTATATAATGCTCTGTTGGTGTCAGTTCACTATGCACCAACACCTTGACGGCAACGTGGGTCATATCTGTCCCACTTTTTGCAGGCTGCGTGGGGTAGTGCCATGGAATCCATTTCTATCGCGTATTCGCAGCTTCCTACCAGGTCTTTCGTATCGATTCTTCAAAGCTACTCTAACGTAGTTATGAGCGGTTTGATTCGCAGAATGATTGGGTGTGCTTTTGTTTGTCAAAGGTTTTCTGAACCAAAAATTTTTGGGTTAGCTTCATTCCCAACCTTCTTTTTACTATCATTAAGATGTACTTCAGGAGGGCTAGGTGAAGGATACAGAATAAATAGATGGTAAAATAAATGTTTTGAGACTAAAGCCAATCACGGAAGGAATGATTTTGACTGCTGATCGCTGCGAAAGTTCTTTGAGGATACTAACCGTCATCCTGCGGCAAAAAAAAACGCGCGCGGATGTGTTAAGTAATAAGTGTGAGTCTGTATAAACACCGCAGGTTTCCCATCTTCCAAATAAATTTAGTTTATTCGTTTTTGGTGTCGGCATTTGGAAGCGTCTTCCCTTGACTAATCGAACAATATTGTCCTGATTGATGATTGATTCTCTTGTCCATGTGATTTGAAGGAATTGTGAATGTCATCAATAACTGGTTTGGCTGGTATGCAGTCACCCACCATAGTTAACGCGGACATCCGTTAGATGTACGAGCAGCTAACCTTTTGCCGCGAAAGCTGCTTTGATGTTGGAAGAACCAATGGATGCCCTTCTGTTCTCATTATGAGCTTCATGAAAAGTTTATACGGAGCTTAATGGAATTGTTTTCTGGCGTAAATTTTCATCTCTTTTTATTTTGAATATCGCTTAGATGATCACAATGTTGAAAAAATGGCAAAGAATCAAGCCAACTTCGATAAGGAATGCCTATAAAAACACAATGTTATAGGCGTGCGGCCTTTTGGACTATTAGCACATTTAGTGCTCAAGGCTCTAACTGGAAAGTAATAAACTCGTTTACAGGGCCGCAATCTTATTAGCGCATGAAGCGTTAATCTCACACTGATCATGCTTCGGGATCAAGTGTTGGGTAATAAATGTCTTCCCCGCCTGCAATGGAGAGAGATGAGTGTGCTCTTCGTAGAACCCTATAAAGTGGTCAGTTATATTTTATAAGACACGCGCATGGGACCCAAACCTCATACACGGTCGACCTATCTTCCGATTCAGTTCTGCATTTTAGGTTGGCATTTCCAGGGTGGCGTCGAATGACGCCAAATGGTGTTAAAGTGGCACCATCAGCGCCATTCTGGTGATTATCAAGCCGGTACTAAAATGAATGTCATGCTGTCGCGCGCGCATTACCGTTTGCGATATGGAATGTTGCGGCGACGTTTCTTCTTGGTCTCGATTGTTTCTCTGAACCATATTCCGACCTTGGATTCTAGCTCCGCCCACCACATTGTAAGCCCCACCCGCCATGGCTTCGACCTCCTTCCTTCGTCAACCTCCATCCACTTCTTTCCCGGTCTCTGGATTGTCTCTGAATCGAATAATGAAGTTTTGCGGCAAATTTCTTCCACTTTGGTGCATGCTTCGCCCACCAATAGCAGATGATCACATTTCTCTTCTTCGACCTTTATCAACTTTTTTCGCGGTCTCTAAAATTTTTCGGAACCGAGTTATCGGATTTTCGGAAACGCTGTCGACTTCAGGATACGTCCACCCGTTGTGATCGAGCTTCTGAACACACCACTCATGCCAGAAAAAGCTCAGATATGCTTCCTACATAATTTTTTTTTTCGCTCTGTAGGCTCTGGCTCATCAATACACACCTTATCCATTTTTTTCCCCAGTCTCGAGGTTGTTTTTGAATCGAATTTGGAATCCTGGTCGTCAGTATCACCACGCCACTGTGGGCAAGGTTCCGCTAACAGATCTGTTTTCGTTCTCTCGAGGCATGACCCACCCATTCCACACTGGGCCCTCTCTCTTCAGGCGAATCTCCAGGAACTAGGGAATTTCGTAAAAGAACCGTGATAGAACGAACGGTCTCCGATGGTATGGACATGTTCTTCGCGCGAATGAGGACAGTGTCCGTAAGATCGGTCTCAACCTTGACGTGCGCGGAAAGCGGCCTAGAGGACGCCCAGCGATGGCTCGACACGTTGCACGAAGACTTGAAGAGCGTTAACATCCACCCCGATCAAGCATTCAATCGGGAGAAGTGGCGTCAACACATCAGAAAAGCGGACCCCGCCTACAAGCGGGACAGACGCTAAAGAATAAGAAGAAGAAGAAGAACCGTGTAGAACGAACGGATGGAACGCTTTGTAATGAGTGAGGTCAAGGATAGCTTGGGAAGCTCCACATGATTTCTGTACTTCATATTGACTATGGAACACTATGAGCGGAATACTGGGTTGGTCAGGAAATGTCCGCTTTAGTGCATCTTGAGTATTTCCTTGCAAATTTTTCTGTTATTTCCTCCCAAAATTGTTCAGGCAATTTGGATACTCATTTTTAGAGAACATCAGTCCCTTTCCATATCATATCCATGCGAGTGATTTTGAAAAGTTCCGTCATTTCGGCCTATTTTGGGCTACGGAAAATCGCGGTCTTGGACTGCTGACATTTTACGAGTTGAAACTAAGAAGGAATACATCAGGGTGGGCTCATACTATGGCGATTACTTTGTGAATAGGAAACGCACAACACTAGAGTAGCTCGCCAGATTTGGGCCCAGGAGAAATAAAGCTAGAAGATGATGTAAGGAATAAATAGAAAGAAATGCCATTAATATACAAGACTGTACAAAAGAGACGAAGGAAGCTCATCACAGACGCTCAGCAGGTCTAGCAGGAGCGAATAAAGTCTCCAGACGGTGTTTAGCCGCCTGCGTGTCATGAGAAATAAGAAAAACGTTGTCAATCTGCTCTTCGATCTGACCCATACTGGCAGCTCCAATCTTTGCGATGGATGGGATGGAGGTGCGTGCTTGACTCTTTCACTGCAACAGGATGTAACTATTCCGAAATGGGTACTAGTGTTGTATAGAAATCTTTTTTTGGGGCATCTAGGAATTAAAAGGTTGCTAAACAGGTGACGAATAAAGTACATCGCAAATTTCGCAAAAAGGCGTACGCAAATACCCGGAGCTTAAACGAGCATGTCCCTGCAGTGGTTGATGGCGCATTTCATTGCGAAGTCCAGGAATCGAGTTAGTCAACGACGGTGCGAAAGACCGTAAAGAACAGAACATAATACATAAGGAACTGCGGGATGATTTGTCGCTGCTTTGAGGAACAAAGGAGTTCTGATTCTTCGCAATGATAACGCTTCAGGCGCTGTGTAAATTCATTCGGAATAAGTTTCATGAACTAATATAATTCTTCTCTTTTAAACGCAATCTCTGCGGAGAGGTCGCCTTGAGAGTAA